ATCTGCAAGAGCAATCACTGGCTTTTTGTGGTGTGCGTGATATTCCACAACACAGATAATACTGTAAATACAATGCTACTTCTATCAGCGAACTAAGATTTTTGTTATTTTAGCTTCTTGTGTGTATAGTTTTTCTGCAGTTTCTGTTGTAGTCTCAGACTTGTGACAAGGGTTGAGTTTGCCTCTAAAGGGGATCAAATGACTGGTTTGGTTAGGAGGAAAGGTAATTTCCAGGCTGTTTTTACTTGATATTTTCAATTTGTAGTAAGTCAGAGAGCCTACTGGATTTTATGGAGTCTGCTGTGTTTACAGTTGCTGTTGGTGTTACCAGTAAGCAGCCAACAAGGCCAGTGTGGAATGGGAATGACATTATCAGTCATCTTTTCTCCTGTCTAGACTTTCAGGCAAGGGAAGTACATTACTTGTCTGAGCTAGTGTTGGAGGTTGTATGTGTACATGGATAAGAAGGAATTTCCTTTATTTATGGGAAGAAATCCTTCTTCCATTTTGAACTGGCAGGCTGAGCAAAACAGTTACAGTTCTCCTTTAAGTAAATGTCAGATTGATGTCAGTCTTGCCTCCCTCAAATCTTCAAACAGGTGTTGCAAGACAAGGTGATTTCTGTTCCGCTGGCTGATTGGCCCTCTTGGAGATGGCTTCAGCTGTTCCTTTGAGACTCCCACTGAAAATTTTTGAGTTTAAAATGAAGGCAGTATTTTAAGAGAACTTAAAATACTGATTTTTGCAATTGCCCATTGTATTGGTAAGGTAGTGCAAGTATTGGTCAAATGTGTTGTAGCAATAGTTTACTTTTCATTTCCTTGCTGTGCAGTACGATCTGTGCTCTTCTGTGGTGTTCTCTTCTACTTGAAAGGCTTGACACTAAGTGGATATATATTTTTAAATATAGACAAGAAAGCTATTATTTTTTATTTAGCTTTTACTGTGTAATGGAATTTGTGACAAGGTTATTTGCTTCAATATAATTTTGTGTACTGATTAGTGTTCTTTGGAAAGGGCCTTGAGGCGTGTTGCACGAAAGATGCTATATAAGTAGGGAATGGAAGGGTAAACGACCTTCATTTAAATGCAGTCAAGTAATCATTATCAAAGTTTTAAGCAATTTGAACTGCCTAACAGGAGGTATGATGACAATAATTGCCAATGTCCTTAAAGGACAGTTGTACCCATTTGATCACTGCCACATGCTTGAAGTTTGTAAAAGGAAAACCACTTCTCACAATCTCTATTTTGACAATGTACTATTTGAAGATAACTATTTTAAAACCAAACAAACCAACAACAACAAAAAAAAAAAAAATGCAACCAGCAGAAAAACACATATTACAAAATGGATACTTTGGAGGTCTCTGCATGTAGCCCAACCGAGTTTTATCATACAGTAGTGTAGGTGCCAATACCAGAAGGCGCAAGTGAAATATTAGTTAAAATAAAGAATGAAAAAAAAATTAAAAAGTGCACTAGTATTTAAATAGGAGTGAAGCAGGCAGTTCATACCTAAAAAGTAACAGTTTTACCATGAATGTGATAGGAATGCAGGGCCCTGCAATGTTGTTTTGAGCTTAACCTTTAGGTAAATTAGGCCAAGGAGGTGAGTTATGCTGAAGGATTGAGCAGAAACGTATTTGTATTTTTATTTACTCCTTTCCCTACCCAGAATCATCTTGAAATATACCCCCATATAAACATGCACAATCAGAAATGGACTTTGTCTATTCTCTGAGGTGCATATAGAAGAGCTGGGCCCAGTTTGGAAGCAATAGTTCATTCCTTAGTGTGGCTCTGTGCCGAGTTAATATTTTCTGTCTTTCTCTTAATGTTCTTATCACTGGCCTAGTCCAACCAGTTTTCCACAAGCTAAGAAGAGCTCTGTAACCCTTATGAGATGGGTATAAAAAAACACAAAGGCCTAGGGAATCTCAAAGTCCAGTCTGCTACTGTCACTATATATTATAATATAAAATGATAAAGCTGTGTCTTAACATGAGCTAATTATTTTTGTCCTTCAGGACTCCAGTTGGCTGTTCAATAATGTTACTGCCCTGGGAGTTACAAATCTTCTAATTTGCAGCATAAAAATATTTATGGCTGTTTTATACTTATTTGTTCTTGTGCCAATGTTGTCTTTTTTACTTCAATAGTTCATCTCCAGTGTATATGCTTTGCTGATTATATTTTTACAGAAGAGTAATTCTCCTGTTCTGTATTGGCAAGGTAAAACAAGCCAATGTCTTTTATTCTCCTTGAATTCTCACTCTTCATTGCCAGTGTCATCCCTACAGCCCTTCCCTGTTCTTTTTCCAGTTTAAATTAAACTTCCCTGAAGAAAATCAGAATTACAGTTCTGGTGAGATTTCACTGTACAGTGACATTAATACTTTCTAGAAAAAAAAATGTCCTGTTTATATTTTGCAACTGCATAGCTTGTTTCCGTATTTACATCAAATTAGTTGGTGAAAGTACATGTTACAATCAGCTTATACATTTCAGGTTTCTTTTCCCTTCTCTTTGTGATTAAATTTCAACTTGTAGCAATTTTTTTTCACTGTTTACTTATACTTGATCGTACTACTTTCTGCTCATTACCTTTGTTACAAGGAACACAATACTTTACCGGTGTGATATTTTGATTTTTCTTTCTATTGGTGCTGCCTCCTAATTTTGTCTAATCTGCAAGCTTCCACTATGTGTTTCTACTTATGTCATATTCATATTCAGTAACAAATTTAGGGAAGTTTTGCAAACTGATCTCTGAGGAGTTTCATTACCAAGCTTCATTCTGTTCTGTAGATGCCTTTTCAATAGTGTCTGTCATTACATCTGTTTTAGTATTTTCCTGACTAATTTATAATCCGTTTACCAATTCGTATTTTTCCAGCTGTTATATATATATATATATATTTATATATATATATATATATATATGTGGATGCATATATGCTGATGTGCAGTTAGTTGATTCAGTAATTTCCTTTGCTTAAAATCAGCCATATTATCAAAGAAATTAGCTTGGCATAAATTACCTTTCATCAACCCATTGTGAACTGCACTCCATTTTTTTGCTATATAGATATGTATTTAAACCTTGAACTAAGAGAAGAACTATTGTCTGGATCAATTTACCTCTTCTGCCTCCTTAAATATCGTTGATTCCCCCCTCAATTCCCACCAAGGCCAGATGAAATCGTGGAGTTGTAATCAGTAATTTCTATGACTGCTCCAGCACACTTAGTTTTTTCCTCTGTCTATTTTTTTGACATGACCAGAGTATTTTAGCCAACCTATCCCTTTTTATGTCTTCACAGTCCATAATGTCCTCAGACACCCCTTTCTGTCTATTTTTGTTTTTCGTAAAGAACACATGCATTTGGGTATCTGTGTTTCAGCCCTGCCTGCTGTTTTAATGTATTTTGCTTTCCTGCAATAGCTTATTTTACACTGTGCAGCACCCAAACTTTCCCACTTTGTTTAAGAATACAAGTAGTCAGAAAAACAAACCTTGTAAGTATTTCTTACTGATTTGATCCAGTTCCCTAATGAGTCTATTCATGAATGATGCCATCTAATTGAAGATTATTTGCATCAAAATTAGTATTTTCTTCTAGACGTCCATTGTATTCCCCACTCTGTTCTTTAAGCCATTATCATGTCCCTGTTTTCTTGATTTCCCCCTTCCTTTGAATTAAATCCAGATGTTGAAAATATGTACCTCTCCCAACTGTCTTCCTTTCTTTTCTAGTTTACCATTAATATATGCGTAGATGTGTGCTCATTAATGAAGAGAGAAGAGAGATTTCAACAGAAATTTAGGGAAACAGTGTGTAACTGCGAATTGTATTGCAGAAGATAAAACTCAAAATTTGCCTTTCTGAATGGGGTTCGTTCTCTGGATTTTTTGATAGATTTTTCTTTCTCTGTTTCAGTCATTTTTTTTTTAAATATTTATTTAAATATAAGAAGTTCCAATGAAGACTTCTGGAAAACTTGGACTATGTTTCACTGTTTTAAATTGACCTACAGTGTATCTTACACATGAAAAAATAAATATCTAATACATAGGAAGTTAGCATAGATATTTAACTGTCATTACTAACTTAATGTCAGTGACAGTCATTGAAGTTTTGCTGTTCCTCTGGATTCTCCCAGGCTACACCATGTAAACTAAATAGAGCCAGGACATGCACTCAGCTGTGGACTTAAGACCACTAACCTCCATACTGTGCCACTTGTCTTCAAGATTGAAGACTGCAATCTGGCACACTTTATTTGTTAGTATAAGAAGTTATTTCTGGAGAGAAATATTATTTGCTAAGTTCCCATCTGTATATCTCCCAGGAAATATTTTTCCCCCCACAGCTAGAAGTAAGAAATTTTTGTTTTCTTCTTAGTTAGTAAGAATGACTGACAGTAATAGTGGCAGGTGGGAGGGGCTTGGGGATGAAGATTTATGTCTGAGCTGTTAAGTTTCCCAGGCTTCAGCCTACTTTGAAAGCAATTGCTCTGAGATACTGTGTAGAATGAGGAGGAGGAATGAAAGTATTTTGCTTTTCTGAAGCAGATCACTGTCCCAGGCTCTTTGTGAGAACTGGGGTCCTTTAGAACTAGGAATGTTGTTCCTGCATACCTGATGAAAACGCATTGTCCTAGTTTTTGTTCGTTCTGCGTGCTCACAATTATTCTCTGCAAGTGGTTCATACCAAAGTCTTCCTTTGTACCTTCTAGTCTTTACTATAAGAAAAAATGCTGCTGTTCTCTCTGCACCTTCAGGATGCCCTCTTCTCTGTCCTCTCGAGGTGTAAAACCAGCCTGTTCTAAATGAACAACTTTTGCATGGAGAGGGAGGAAAAAGGGGAATAGTTTTCAGTAGAAAAAAATAAATTTTTATGATGCTTCTTTGAACCAAATAGATTTTGCTTGAGCCTCCTGAGATTTTCTTACCACTGTTCCTCAATGAAGCTGTATTTACAAGATTATTTTAGCATCAAAACACAACTGCATTTAATTCCACTGGATTGCACTTTTGTTACTTTGAGCAGACATTGATGTGTATATCAGCTCTGCAGAGTTCTGAAAGAGATTTAAGAAACAAATATCATAAAACAAACATATAAAAATAAAAATTCAATTATAAGTCAAAATGTCTTATGGTTTAGGTTGAAGGAAAAGAGGGAAAGCTAACGAAAGAACAACATATGTATTTTTTTGGCCACAAAAGGGTTTTACTCATTTTTCTATGCCACAGTGCTACATTATCTCATAGAACAGGTGAAAAGAGAAATACTGCGGAGAGTAATTTGTATAGTGACATTTTTTACATGTAACTAATTAACAAAGAGAGTTCAGATTCTTAGAGTGCTAACACAGGTATTTCTAATGAGGAAATTGCAGAAAAGCAGCAAATTACTAGAGTAATAATGAAATTCTTTGACACCAGTAGGTGTATCTTTTTCAAAGGGAAACTAGTGTAATCCCAAAGGCTGAAAATTGTAGAAATGGAAAGCAAAATTTTAAAATTACAGTCTATGCAATGTCATGACATTTCTTTTGTGCCCGGATAGGTTTTGGAGTCTTCTTCACTGAATATATTCAAGAACTGTCTGGACACAATCCTGTGCAATATTATTCTAGGATGACCTTGCTTAAGCAGGGAGGTTGGACCAGGTGACCACTGTGGTTCCTTCCAACCTGACCTATTCTATGATTCTGTGACTTTTTTTTGTTGAGTTGCTGTATTTGAGAAGATTCATTTTATACTGAGGAACATTCTGCTGTTGTATTTACTAGTTTTGCATCTTCTGGTATATATAGCAGCACTGCAGATAGACGTCAGATAAATAAAATTAGAAGTTTTTCACCATTCTCTATTATATTACCTATGGTTACAACATGACTATTATCTTTGCTTCACTATGTGCTACCTCTGACAATGACCTTGTTCAAAGCTAAAACTCATGATTTCAAGCTGAGTAACAGTCAGTGTTTTCAGTGTGAATCTGGTGATGATCTTGAGGAGAACTGACCACAACAGGAATTACAAATGTTCCTTAGTTTGTTCTTGTCCTGGGAAAGGACAAGAATCTGCTATATTTGTATCATCATACTTAGGCTTGTTGCCATCGGGCATAATTTTGACTTCATAGGTGGCACCAAAAATGTTGTACACATAAATATGCTTCATTTAAATCATAAGTTACTTTGTTGAAGCTGAGAGTATATCTTTTCCTGGTGGTACAGCCATGTGATAGGAGTGAAAAGAAATCTGATCCTTAATTTCTATGTTGGCAAAATCCTTTCAAAGACTCAGTTTTAGTGTGAATAAGGTAAGCGGTGCTTTGAATTGATGTAGTTTTCCTCACTGCCAAGGTGAAAGTGAAATTAAGCACAGTACTTTTCCTGTATAAATCTCCTAATGCTACAGTTATAAGCTAGATGTTATGAATCAGCAGACAAATAAGTCCAGAGAGTTGCTATGCATGAAACAAGTTATCTTATTTAGCCACATGTTGAGACTAACTCAATTTTTTCCTTGCATGTGATATTTTAGCTAAGCAGTAACTTAATTTGAATACACAAAGTAGTAAACTGCTATCCCTTGGAATCAATTTTACAGAGACATTTAGTCAATGCTGTTTGGAAAGAATAAGTTCAATATATGCTGTCATACATTAATAACATCTAAGTTATTTTCTGGACCAAATGTATTGAAGTGCTAGTATACGCTTCTTTTCTTGAAGTATCTGTGAACGTTTTCCTTTATATCTTATCGTTTTTGTGATGGTCTGGCTAGTGCATAGATGGCTTTTAGGTGTGAGTGGGTACATTTTATATTACTTAGAATAAACAAGGTTACATCTTAATAATGCTTTAATAGGAGTTTCATTGATTATGTGTCACTCCTGTTAGTTCATAGGAGTTTCTATTAAGCATTTACCTGGGTGTATTTTCTGTGATTATGGCAAGCTTTCAATGGTCGCACCTCATTCATTGGCTGTATTTAGCATTATCTCCTTTTTTATCTTTATATATCTGTAAGAGTCAGTGTAATTTCTCATGGAAGTTTACAACAGTGATGGGAATACTGCATTAAAAAAATGGAGGGAAATTTGTGCCCTGTTACAGATCATATTAATAGATATTCATGCCTGTTTATTTGAGAGAATGTTTTTTTCTTAGGCATTCATAGTCATTTCAAACACAGCATGCAGTACATCAGTTCTATCAGATACTGTGTGTAATGTGTACACATAAGCCTCTCAAGGCATAAATCTTCAATGCACAGGAGTTGTTTTATATCCTAGGCTTTCTAAATGCTATACTAACTATACTGACTTTATCAATCTGATAGTTTGGAACCAGAATTATAGAACACAGAAGTGCAGGGCTGTGTGAAAGGTGAGATCTTTGTATTTGAATTTTACTTGAATTGATCCATAAAGTTATTTTTAGAAGTTACATTCTCATAACATCTACATAACCTGGTTTACTCTAATCTGATTTTTCCAAGCTTTTTAAGCAGTGCTGAAAATTACTTTAGGGAATAGATTTGCTTTCAAACTGAGTTTTCAGAATAAAGTTCGGGTCATTGTGTTCTTTAAGAGATTGGCTGAATGCCACTAATAGTATGTTGTGACTGTTTTTAAACCTGACAGTTGGCTACAATACACTTGAGTAAATTCCAGCTTTATTGTCAAGCCAAGGTATGGTTTCAGTAGAGATGCTATCTGGCATCCACAGAAGATATTATCATCAGTTAGAAGGAAGATGTGCTTCATCATTTTTTGCAGGTTTACTCATTATGTTGTGCCCTGCATTTGAATTAAGTTTGAAAAAAAAAAATATTTTAAAATGTAAGTTTGACGTTTGGTAGCCTTCGAGGTGTGACATGAATATCAATAAATAAACAAATCTCAAGGAGTGCATTTAGTATCTCAGTGTAGAAGTCCTTTAAAATATGTTTTCAAAATAAAATAATTAAATTTCCAAATTAGTTTCATTGATCTGAGAAAAACCATATTTGTAGACATAGACAATATCCTTTATTGGACTAGTGGCTACGAATGGAACTGTTGAAGAAGTGTTTGCTTAACTATCCCATCTGGTTTATAAAAAGAATATTCATTACTATCATTATTTTTTGTGTAATATGAATGGAGTCAAAGTGAAATTCTGCGCCAGCACATTCCTGGTTGCTGAGAGATGCTAAATGAAGAACACTACCAATACAGAAAGTGTCACTTCCGAATCTAATTTTTTAAACACCTCTAGGGAATCATGCCAGTGCGCAGACAAGAAGCCTTTGAGATCACACCTTCTCAGGCAGTTCTGTTTCTTCCCAGTTGATGTTATATTAGCAGAATTAATGGGATGACTTTTTTCTGATGTCTTACTTCCCAAATGTTAACACTTGCTTAAATGTGGGCAGCTGATATTCTTTTTTCCTGTTTTTGTAGGTCTCGATTAACTTGTCATTTCAAACTACAAAAATCTACATTGCTTAAAGCATATACTTCTTTTTTTTTTTTTTTTTCCTCACAAAATTTAGGGTTATTATAGAGTAAGATGTTAGAATGGTGAATCTATACAAATACATATAGACATCAAACCTGATTCTCCCCTGACGTGGCCATTGATTTAAAGAAAATAGTGCTGAAAGACAATTGGATGGATAGTTGGGTCTGAAAGCAAACTACTATGGTCTATGCTGTGTTTATAATCTTGTGAATTTGAGCTGTATCATGGAGGTCTTCAAAACATTAAGCATTTATGAACCAGTTTATTCACGCTCATGAAGTCAAGAAGACTTAAAGCTATTTGGAGAGAAAGAGGTGTAGATTTAGATCCCTAATGAGGTTTTGAAAATCACTAGTTTGTGTCTTGAGGTCACATGTGTGATCTTGAGTCTTCAGCAGCCAGTCCTTGGATGGGGGGTGCATATGTATATCAGCCTTGATGATTTATGAAATGAGATCTTTTATTCTAAAGGGCAGCCATCCTCATGCTGCCTGCAGCTGGAGTTAAGGGAAGGAAGCAGAATTCTGGGGCTGGCCTCCTCCATGACTTGAGTTTGATTCTGCCCAACTTGTGATGTTGGCACAGGTAGGACTTGAAGGACTGCAGGCTGAAGGGGATGACCTCTGGGTGACGGGGGCAGTGTGGCTGACTGAAGAATAATGTGAAATAATATGCGAGTCTGACTTGCTCTTCTGGCAGAGTAGAAGTTGTTGGGATGCGGTTTCTGACGTGAAGTGAGTTAACAGTAGAGACGAGGTGTTTGTGTGCAAATCCAGACATGACTTTGCAACCCCATCTCTGGCATGTGCAGCAGCAACAGCAAAGATGGTCACGCCTCCCATGTAAAAGAAATATATTAAAATTTATAGTATTTATTTGTAAACTCACAGATCATGTGCCATACTGTGTAAAGTGTGATTTTTCTTTATCTTTTTTCTTTTTTTTTTCCCTTCTGGTTTAATGTTCAGAGGTAGTGTCATCCTAATTAGTTTCCACTGACAGAATAAATATTGTTCCATCTGTGCACTATTACAGTCAGCGACTGAAGGTTTGAAACACTTGAGCAGTGGATGTCAAGTAGTCTGTAAAGGGACTGGAAAGCAACTCATTTTGGATTATTTTGCATATATCACCATTCAGAAAGAGGTTATGGGAGCAGTTCTCATCTGTACTGCTATCATCCCAAAATTATGCCAAAATTTTGTTCCCTTTTTTTCAACAGAATTTACTTGATAATGATCATGAATAATAAAATGAAAGGATTTCATGCATTATGACAACATAAAAACATTAAGCTTTTTTTTTTTTTTCAAGTTTGCAAATGTGTTTTAAAAGGGAAGCGTTTACTACCATATCCTGAGAATAGGCCAGATGAACTAATATCCTTATTTATTAGACATTCCTGAGACAAGAGGCAGAGCAACTTGTCAGGGATCTCCTTTCCTTTTCCTTTGCACTTAACCATGTAAAAGAAAATACACATTTGTAAAAGGTAACTCTATTTGTTTAAGCCTTATTCCTGGAAATTTCTTTGGCTGTGATTAAAGCAAAATTAAAAAAAAACAACAACAAGTATATTTAGAGTTCATTTTGGTGTTGTTTTGGAGGGCTCTCAAAAAAATAGTCAGGCAGGAGAACCAGGCACATAGCCATCTCTGTAATATGTATAGTTGGTTTCTGGCCGCAAGTCTGTCTGACATTGAAAATATTTCCTGTGAGTAATAATCCTTTACTTAATGTGATGGAATTTTTCCAGTTCAACTTCTTGTCTTTCTTGTAGCTTGATTAAACAAATTAATTTTTACATAATTGGAAATCAGCACAGCTCTTCATGAAGATGTTGCTCCGTATTTAAAAAATAGTCTTAAAAGAACATTGACATCTCAACTGTTTAAAAAGACGCAAATCCCAGGCAGCATCCTTAGGAAATGCTATAGACTATATAAATCCGATTACTCAAATTCTTTTTTAGCTGAAACAGAACAATATCTGATGCTATCTATGAAATGTATAGCTAATACCCTCGAGTATCCAAAAATATTCAGTATCTGCATATTTTATTAATGACTAAAGTTGTCCTGTCCCTTTAGATATCCTTTTTTTTTTTATTCTCTGCTACATTAGGGGTAAATGTAAATATTTTGTTAGCAATTATATAATGATAAAATTTAATTTGCATAAGATTGTATTATTTAAAGAGCATGCATTCAGCTTTAGGAAGTAATTACCAACCTAATTTTTGAAGTTATAGGAACCTGTGCAGAGTTTCTGAGAGAGGGAGGATGTTTGGTATTTGGTTGGTTGGTTGGTTGGTTGGTTGGTTGGTTGGTTTTTTGGGTTTGAGGGTTTTGGTTTTGTTTGGAGTTTAGGTGGGGGGGTTTTTTGGTTGGTTGGTTGTTTTTTTCAATATGTTAAAGTTATGACAAAAGATATGCTTGCTCTTCTGTAGTTCTTAACCCTGTTGACAGATTGTACCTTTCACTTTGAATATATTGAGTTTGCTCTGAGAAAAAAAGAAAACGGTTGTAGACCTAACAGAGGAAAAAGCACCATTTACTGAGAATTTTATAATTCAACCTTCTTTACTGGAAGCATATGTTATTCTTTTATATAAATTTTGCTATACAGATTCAATTATATGGCAATTTTAAAGAACTAGAACTCATAAAAGAAATGGCCTTAGATAAATTTTATTTTATATCATGTTTAAATAATTAGACTTCTGTCTTATTGAAATATATGTTCTTTTAATTTAAAAAGAGCTAAAACCACAAATATTGGCACAATTAGGAAATTATATTGTGTCATAGTGGGATTGATTGATGAGTAGTTGAATGAAAATGAACTAAAAGGCTGGTAGAAGTAAATGTGTATTCTACTACTGCTTAGATAAACATTTACCTGAGTTCTAGGACAGTTATGGAGGTGAGAAGAGGCATCTTTCATTTCCGTGTTTAGTTTGTGCATGTTATTGTTTTTGCTGTGAAATCAGTCATAAAGAGAAGAACAAGCTCAACCTGAAAGAGAGAGCAATTTAAGAATTTCACAATTTCACAACTGTTCACAACATCTTTATACCAGAAACAAACAAGTGAACAAATGGAAACTCGTCAAAATTAAATATGTGCTTTAATGTTGACTGTCTGGCAAGGTCCCCTTATTTATTTAAGCTTTTTTAAAACCAATTTCTTTAACCAGCTATGCCAAAGAAATTCACATCTCTGAGATTTAAGAAATAATGTAAAGGTTGTAGTTAGAGAAATGCCTTTTTATCATTCTTAAACCATTTTATTGATTCCTCCCCACCCCCACTCTCTTTTCTTTTTCCCCATTTGTTATCTGTCCCCTAAAGGTCTCCTACACATTGAAGTCCACAGTGGAACTCACTAGTGGGGATGAAGCAGAGAAACCACTGCAGGATTCCCTATTTCAAAGCCGAACCAATATTCACCATTGACACATTCATTCATCTGTGCAGGGTCATTGGAAATCCTCTTTCTCTAGTTTTGCCTTCCCTTCAGGGAGCAATGTTTAAAAGAGCAAACCCCTGGTGTGAAGAGATAGAAGAATTCTCAGCGTGGCCAGTGGTGCCAGGAATCGAATTAAAGTTGTCCATTTGCAGATGACTGTATACTCAGCTCCCAGCATATTCAGCTGTGGGGCTTGCTGCTGACATTTTATTCGAAATGCTGTTGGTGGCACTTGGTTGTATTAAAAAAAAAAAAAAATTGGGACAAAAAGTATTTTCTTAGAAAAAGAGAAAAAATGCTGAATTTCAAAATGTGCATGATTCCTGCTCTTCCTTTTAGGTCTGGAGGTTGTTAAGGATCATGTGCTAGAGAGGTAAATAATTACAGAATGTACTTCTTTGGGTAATTTAACACTTGTCACTTATTCTGCTATTGTTGACATCTCTATTTTGGCATAAATCAGATTTTGACATTACTAAACCTACAATTTTGTTTTTCTTCGCACACATTATCTCTTCCATGTGAAAGGCACTGGGAAGACACGGGCTGCCATGAAATCTGAAATGCCTGCAGTCAACACGAGGAGCACCTCTTAATTTCATTTCCCGTTAATAGAGACGAACTTGGTGCACATTTGGGAAGGTTTAGAAATTGTCAAACAGAGATTCTGTAAAAGGAGTTCTGAGAATTTAAAGAAGTCTCTGTCAGTTTGGAGGATGAAAGGGTAAGCATAGTTAACCATTTGGTCACCTGCTCAAATTCCCATCTCAGCAATCGTAGTCCCCCCACGTGGGGGTGGTGGAGGAGTTGGTGCGGTATATCCCTATCCTTAGTGACTTCTAGGAGGTTTAATTTTTGTGACTAATTTCAAAGAAAAGGGATATTTCTGTGAATAACAGTGTCATGATCTGCCACCAACATAAATCACAGTTTCTTCAAGGAGCATCAGGAAAGGAAGTGGAAGAAAGAGTTGGAGACTACAAATTATACCACTACATAATTATGCAGCTTTATTCATATGTCTAACGTGATATCCACATGCATGTTAGCAACACAGAGGCCTAAATTATAGACATTCAAAACAACTTGAAAAAGGGAGCAGGGGAACTGTTCAAACAATTTAAATTCTCTGTCATAGCAACTTGAGACTTTAGATAGAACCATCCTAGAAATACAGATTAAATTTTCCTTTTCAACTAAATCACACAGGTAGTATTTTTATGCAGTGCATATAAAAGTAAGCTCACTGTTCATCCTGTAACCAGAACTTCTATACCCAAGTATGTGAGGTGTTATAAAGAGGTAACATTATAGTGAGGTATTTTAATCTAGTTGAATGACCTTACACAAGGGGAAGCATTTTTCCAAGAGGGGCAGCCCAGTAATGAGGGTAAGGTGTGTCCTAAAACGCCCCAGAGCTCATTCTAGCTTATCAACTACTGCTACAATTCCTAATTTGTGGGGCACTTGTGCTTTTTCTGGACAGTCTATCATTTAAAGTGCTGTGAGAGACAGTTTAATCATTTTAAGAGTATGCTGTGTAACTGATCTTGGAAGTGCCCAGTACTCACCAGAGATTTATTGAAAAAACATTTGTACCATGACTGTCTTTCCTTTGAAAATAGTCAAAATATTAAAAAAAGCAGTCATGCTCAGCAGCAGTTTTCATTGATGCATTTAGAGCTTTCCTCCTCTTTAGCAATCCAGACCTTTTTAAGAAATGTCATTGCTGGTTATCCTCAATACAAAATGTCCCATCAAAGCTACCTTGGTGCAACCTTACCTCTTAAATATCAGCCTGTGCCCTCTAACCATTTGTTATCAAGTACCTTTTAGTTCAGTCATGGCAAACTCTGTTTAATACATAGAATGAAAAAGACATGGATACAGCTCAAGGCATTTTGTATTAAATCAAATATAGGATATTTATTTAAAATGTTTTGGATGCATTCTTGAAAAGGTGTCACAAGATTTTGTATCATAATGTGCCTAAATAATTATGTGCCTAATGAGAACAATGTGAAGTTTAAAAAAAAAATCCAAACAACAACAACTAAGAAAAAAATTAAGTAAGGCCGTAGACAAATTTAAGTCTTCCTTAACCTTAGAAAGTATTTAGCAAATACTTTATTATAAAGGTTCTGCCTCATTTTCCTGTCTTTTGTGGACTGGAGTTTCTAAAGTCCTCTTAAATGTGATTTCCTTTTTCCTACTCTCTACTCTTTATTCTCAGTGCTAGATATATCTTCAGAGCACTAACCCCATATACTGGTGTAGTGGGTTAGGTATTCACTTGCCACTCATCAAGTGTGCTGATATAGGCCAAAATGGGATCTCTCTGCACAGATTTCACAAGCCATTGGGAGTGAGCATGTTGAAGGTGCTTTATCTGCAGAGTTAAATTCCTGAAATGAGTGGCAATCACCCAACCTGGCCTTCAGTACATGAAGAAACCAGAAACATGGTTGAGAGGAGATAGGAACAGGATGCTGCTTTGTTCACTTCAAAAACCTTTGCTGTCCTATTTTCTGACCACCCTTTTGCACTGCTGCTCTTGATTTGACACAGCGTTAAGTTTGAGATAGAAGACAGTGCAGAAATGCATGTAAAGAACTTGGGAATGGAGAAGGGGAGAAGGAGGTCATATATATCAGATACAGGAGGAAAGATGCATCTGAAAGATCTCTCTCTGTTGGAAGAGATCTCCAATCTTGTTGCCAATGAAAAACCTGTTAACATTGCTTGAGTATAAAAGCAATCAACTGAATGTTTTTTACTTTTCTTTTATGAATAAAACTGCGTCATTCTCTAGGCATAAATAATATTGCAGTATACTACAGTGCAGAAGGAAGGTTGCTGAGAAAAGGGTCACTTAGAATTTCTCAAAAGGACATGTATTTGGGGTTGATGTTAATATAATCTATACTGGGATAGTCCAAGACATATTTTGGGGTATTCTTCTGTTTGTGTGATTTTTCTATATGTTAGATTCCAGACTAGTCATTGGGCCGTTGCTAGAGACAAACATCATCTCTGCTGTGGGAGGCAAAATAAATATATGTGTACCTTTATACATATGTACTTATGGAAAGAGAGACATTCTCTGAACCAAAGCTCTATATTATGTCTCTTTAAAAATCCACAAATACAAATACAGAATCAAAACTGTAATAGTGAAGAACATATTTCCCATCTTGTGCTGCAGGGCATAAGCTAATCTGCTGCTGAGATAGGCAGGAACCCCCTTCAACCCTGTGTTGTTTTTCATTACACAACTGGCTGTTTGCATTATGTTTTTTATTAGAACTTGATTGTTTAATGACAAAGATACAGAGTTATGCTAAAATAAATAGAAAGCTCTGTAGTGGAGAAGCAGAAAATAGACTCAATGAAAAATAAGAGACAAGAACTGCTAGATTCTGCTGTGCTCACCCCAATCCCTCCAAAGCCTGCAAATGTTTTCCTCACTTACACATGCATTTTCTTTATTAACCCCCATCCCCCAGACAAACCTACAGCTGTATTGAATAGGACCTGATAATGTTCCTTTAGCCTCCTTAATTTCCATAAGCAATTTCATTCAGGGAAGTTGTGTACTAGACTGCTCTACCTTTAAAGAAACATCTACAAGACACGTCTGTGTGTTTAAACCAATCTGAAGTGCAGGGAATATTATCTGCCATAATACAAAGGATTGCAGTTCTGTTGGACAAATGTTCTCATCTGCTGCAACTAATCTATTATGTAGCTTTTGTAAATGTGTCATAATAGAACAGTAACCTCGGCAGTCTGCAGAGGTGGTTTGTATGCAGTTGTTCAGGCAAGTAGTTGCTTATGTTGGAACAATTGAGTTTATTTTTGGGTTTGGGGGGTTTTTGTTCCTTTAAAATGGCCTGAAAAAAACCAATGCAGAACACCAAGTGAAACAATTTCATGTGATATTTCATCCAAGCAGCTTTGTACTCCACAAAAAAAAAAAAAAAAAAATAAAAAGGTCATAGAATGGTTTGGGTTGGAAGGGACCTTAAAAATCATCTAGTTCCAACTCCACTGCCATGGACAATGCCATGCCCTTCCACTAGACCGGGTTGCTAGGTTGCTCAAAGAGCCATCCAACCTGGCCTTGAACACCTACAGGGGTGTGGTATCTGCAGGTTCCCTGGGAAACCTGTTCTAGTGCCTCACCACCTTCACAATAAAGAATTTCTTCCTAATAATTAATCTGAACCTGCCCTATTTCCATTTGAAGCCATTCCCCCTTGTCCTGTCACTACATGCCCTTGGAAAATTGGTCTCTCCAGCTTTCTTGCAGGCCCCCTTTATGTACTGGAAAACTGCCATAAAATGAGAGAGAAAAGAGAGCAGACAAAATCTGAGGTGTTCTGTGCTTAAAGGTACCCTAAAATTGTTCATAGTACCTTTTGCTGAAAGGCAAACTGTGATTGATGCTGGGTCCTAACTGGGAGAAGGCAGGCTATAATAGTGTAATTTAGTTGATGGAAAAGAAAGTGTCTATATTACTGTAGAAGATGCAATACATTTCACATGGACTCAAGTTTCTGCTCTTTATGCTATCTTTTGGTGGAGCTGTCTGGAGACAAGCCACTCCAGGGCTCAACTCTGGTTTTGATGAACCAAACATTCCCACTAGAGCTGTCATCTCCTGCTTGGCCGTGCTCCTATGGAGAGTCCTCAATATCTACACCATGAAAGCTCTGGCTGATGGCAGCATCTTAAATGTGGGTCTTAAGGTTCTTCTCACTGTCCTGTTTGTAGGATGCTACTGCTCTTTCTCACCAAGTCAGTGTTTTGAGGCAAATACTGCCTCGAGTTTAACCTTCCCCTGAGGCTTTACCTTCTTCTTTGACTTCCTGTGCCTTTACAATTTCTTATGCTAGTCCATACTCATGTGTATATGACACTCCACCTCAGAGTAGCAGCCTAGTTAGTGTAAAATTTGGGAGGTCCCAGTTCTTCAATGGAAACTCCTCCAAGAGTCAGATAAGACTTTTGTGACCAGGCTAAGCAGGCCTAGAGATATCAGAAGGAAAAGTCTCAAGTTCTATTGAAAGTCGGGTGTTGTTTGGGGTCAGCATCTTAGATGAATAGACTGGTGTTTTGTAGACTTGATAAAATACTGACGTATCTGAGGCAGAAAAATGTTTGGGGGTTTTTTTGTGGTAGTGCTAGGCTACAGAAAGAATACACTGAAGGTTTCCCCCCAGTTTAATTTTTTGTTAGAAGTAAGAAAGGATGGTAACCATAGTTTTATAATGATGCCTAAGATACATCCTAGTGGATGCTACGTTTCTGTCAACCTCAGTTTTAAACTACAAAAAATATCATAATGTATGATATTGAAGGACTTACTGATGAACAATTGATGCTTCAGAGCATCTGCGCTTAGTAAAATCAACAGTACAAAATGCATATTATGCATCTTAGACCATCAGGTTGTCACTCACAAATGATGTGAAGTTTAATGCATTATTCAGAAGTATAAGAGGAGACAGTCCAAAGCAGTTGTGGAATCTCTGTTATTTTATTTTATTGTACATTGTGTTATGTTATTTTGCAAAGAGCAGAAGCTAAGTGTGTGGCTTAAAGGTGCAGAGTTTGGAATTGCATGATAGGATAAGCAGCAGCAGCACTAAAATGTTGGATCTAAGTAAAAATTCACATTCAGACTTAAGAAAGTGGAAGATATTTTGATCTGAAAGCTACAAAAACCCATTTGGGCATGAGTTCTGGAAGTGGAGTTGTGTTGGGATTTTTTTCCTTTTTCCGCTTTGTAGTGCAAAGAAGCACACACCACAAAATCAAATGAAACTGGCATTAATTTGGTAGTCTCAGTTCTCATTGTTGTATTGATTCAGAAAGCTGCAAACAGATACGGAGGCTTAGAGGCTGCATTTAGGACTACTGAAGTTTGGGGGTTAAGATATATGAAAGAGGTAATGAGAGCACTCATTTAGTAAAGGAACTCTTTTTAACATCTTAACATGGAATTCTGGTATAAAAATCTTGGTTCAAGATTTGGTCTTCATCATTTTGTTGGTGGTTTCACTGTTGATTACTCTTGTTTATGCACTTCTTTCCAAAAGAAAGGCCACCAGCACAAACCGTGTCCAACAGAATCTCTTGTATGCAAAATAATATTTACATCCCTATATATTTCGCCTAGTGGAAGAGAAAAAAGTAGTCTTGATCATTTGTTATTGATAACTTTAAATATTATGTCAAGCCTAAATCAATCATATGAGAGAACAGCAGCTATTCCTCAAGATTCACTCTGGATATTTAATTATCTAGAGTTTATACATGCAATTTGTTTTCTTTTTGCCACTTTCAGCGTTTGTTAGGTAGTAATATTGATATGAGTAGTGCAGCAAGATGTATGTCTAGTTAAATTAAACCTTCTATTGGTGAAAACTTATCTCTTGTGGGTGGCTGTGTTTTATGAATCATGTATGTCACAATATTACATTTTCGGACATGTAGTGTTCTTTACATTAGGAACTTGGATTTTTTTGGTGCTAAGTTGATGGTATGTGAAACGTAGGAGAAACAGCATTAGCTGTATGTATGTGAATGTGTGTGTGTATGTAAATATATACATGTATTAGACATCCATAATTTTCTTTTGAAACCAAGCAATTTGCTCTGTTTTTTCTGAACCATTTTCAGCTGTTACTGTGGAAGGAGAACTGACAAGTGTTTCTTCAAGTATCTCCTTTTATTGGCAATTTTTGTTCATTATTATTCAGCTGGTGCCAACAACATTTATTATTTGTATATTAATGACTGGAAATTGTTAAGTGATGGAAAAGCAGTCAAACAAAGCTAGGTGGAATTAACTTTATGCATGCTTTGTAGATGATACTGGACTTGCAGTACTCTGTGCATTCCCCAAATACTCTCTGATTAAGTACCATTTATAGACCTAATCCTGCCTAGCACAGTCTTTTAAGCAGTTTTAAAATCTTGTCTGGAAATATTGAACCCCAAGTATTTTCAAATATATTTTCAGGGGGAAAAAGAGTCTATATTGCAGTAAATCTATCTTCACAGCTACCAATTCCTTGAGCTTAATTATGACACTACTAAATGTGAAAATCTATTCAGTGCTAGGAACACTTTTCACATTACATTCACGCTAAAGATTGGCTGTTAAGAGCTCATTACTGGTAGTTTTCTAAAGAGCGGTTTATTAAACACTGTTACCTAATAAGCATCTTTGGTGGTGCAAATTGCTGAAAACAGTAATGAGTCTGATTAGACTTCATTTCAATTACGACAGCTTGTCTTGCAAAAAAAAAAAAAAAGAAAAAAAAAGAAAAAAAGAAATCTCTCCTTGATGCTTTGGAATCTGGCTACAAGGCATTAGATGGTTTAAAAGGAAAATGCCACCTCTGTATTTCCTTTCCACAGTTCAGTAATGAATAGAGAGCTGTCCAAGTAGCCGTCCAATTTAACACATTGGAAAACTAGATGGGCAGCATTGGAAGCACAATCCTGTTTGCTTAAAAATTCTACAAAGGGTTTTCAGTTAGTATATCTAAATAGGGTCATATTTAGGTTTCCTCTTCTTCCCTTGCGTAATAATATAAAGCTGTAAGACGAGAGAAAATTAAAATGATTCACTCCTACCTGCTTTGCAGAGGTTATGCATTCCTCTGATTAGTGTAATGCACCTTTCAGTTATCTGTAAATCTTTTACAGATCTGTAAATCTTTTACATGCAATTGCAAAACTGTCACAGCTTTCCCAGTACCTGATAATTCAACTTTTTTGTTTTAACTTAAAAAATTTTTTTCAGAGATAAAAACAAATCATAAGAAATTTTTACTACTGATATAAAATACTTCAGTGAATATATTTGTTTATGAACCTAATCTTTGATGCTAAATGTGTTTAACTATATTAATATTAAGCTTTCTTTTAAGTCATTCCTGTGTGTTACTTACATATTCTGGATGGAAAGCGAAGTGTTAATAGAAAAATAATTTAAGCTTATAATTGCTGAATACTTAGTAAGATTCTAATGTTCCTGTATGGCATTTTTAATCCTAAATTTATCTGGCTGCAAGTTTCTAATATTATTTAACACAAAATTAGATGTAGAGTTTTATTACTAAAATCTTATATTGAATTATGTCTGGAGAAATGGCAGAAGAGGGGCACGCATGGAAGGATGCAGTGTTGCTGAAAGCGGTTGTTGGAGTCTCGAAGTGTGGCTGAAATCAGACTGCTGTCCAGTTAGTTTACAGGAAATTTTAAGAAGGTTCACATTCAATAAAGTTTGAATGCCACCTAATTAGTCGTAGGAAATTAATCAGAAACTGAGCTAGTGCAGCGAATATCAGAACTCTTTATCTAGATTTTAATGAAATATTTTCTGTGAGGAATTTTTATTAAACACATGGCACAAACCCCAAATACTGGTGAATAAAATATCATTTATGTAATTACCTGCTGAATAATTGTTGCCTTAAAAGTAAAAAGTGGGGCACATATATCTCCTTTGCAAGAGATTGTAAACTTCAGTGGTTTTTCTGACTTCAAACCAGAGAAGTGACAGAAGAATCAAGCCCATGAACCTTGGGGTCTAAGTATCTTGTACTGGCTCTAAAATCCTTTTTTTGGCTCCTTTTTGTGATGTTACCTTTCTACCTTGTCTTTGAAATTCTTACAGTTAGCTGTGATATATTATATATTTTGTGAGAGAAAGGACTTTCATCAGTGTGCATCATTAAGCAGCAAGTAAAATAGTGGTGGTGAGGGGTTGTTGTTTTTTGGGGTTTTTTTTAACAGCATACAAACACAAGTGCTATTATTCAGCTATACAAATGCGTGCCTGTAGTGTGCTTTGAGATGCTAATCAGTGGAGCTTGACTTCTGTACCCTGAAGCAAATTTTTAAAGTATTTCATCATTAGGTGACTACGTATGCAATAACACTATGGATAAAATTACAGAAAAATAACACAGTTTATTGTTATTTAAGCTATCAACAGTGCTCAGCTTGTTATTGATATGATCATCACATGGTTTAGATTTTTGTTGTGTCTTGAAGGCTGTTTACAGAAATGGCTAAGTTTGTGTGATAGCTGCAGAGGAATGTGACATTTTATCAGCTGGGCTCTATCATTTTCTTCTATTTTTAAAACAAGCGTGTTATTTTTTTCTTGTCCTCTGAAAATGCCTGTGCACCCTCTCGATGACATACTGTGTGTCTTAGGACAACTTTTCCTGGTGCAGGATGAATTTTGCTTTTTTTTGAGAAACATCTAATGTGAGGAGTTAGGGTTTTTTTTCTTCCCACTCTCTCCAGGAATATGGCACAAATATCAGCATACACACAGTTCAATTTCTCAGTTGAGACATTCTCTCTCTGGTGCCTTGGTGCCTGTGTGTGTAAAATACATAAATGTATATATATATAGAGAGAGATTTCTATATTTGTCTATAGAAAATTCTCTGTTCTCCTTCTCCCTGTCCCCGAGACAATTTGTCAAGCTAACTGAACAATCTGTATAGTTCCTTTCAAATGCTCAGGAAACAATATAGTAAGTCCCAAACCAAGAGCATGCAAAAAATTGGCTATATTCCATTTTTCAGTCGTTAATTCAGATACATTTTATTGAGTGAGCAAGAAAGAATCTTCGGAATTTGTGAAATACAATAATTGAAAGGTTTAAGTGGGGGAAAGATTTATCTCAGCTTAGTGTTTCTAGGATGTCAGTTCTTTGGTTATGCTTCTGCTTTTAATCTTGTTTCTCTGCTTTGTGGGGAGCAGGAAGGAAAGGAAGGGTCAGCTGCTCACACAGCCGAGCCCGGGAAGGAGCTGTGCTGGAGCTCTGTTTTCCCTAAGAGCGTGATTAGTACAGTTTTGATGACTTAGCTAAGGTGTTCCCTGCCTTGGGGAGGAAATCTCGGGTTCTATGTAGTAACATCATCCCTTCTTACAATGTCGTCTCTCATGTTGTAATATAGACATTGTTGGTTGGTTGTTGTTTTTTTAATGGAGAGACCAAATAAGTGTACGGGTTAATAATACAGTCCTTTTACATAGGATATTCTCTTTGGAAAGACAGTGTATGCCAGCACTAGCTGCTCTGATACTTATAGCAGAGAGAAATGTGTGTGGTGTGTGTCTGGTATGATGGAAAAAAGGGAGAGAGTGGATGAGCTCTGCTAAGAGCTCCCTGCTCTTAATCCTGAGCCACGTCAGGAGCATTCTAAAGCAGTTTATCTTCATATGTCGTCTTGTATATAAGAAACAACACTAAACCCACCAAAACTCATTTCATATGTAGCTTTTTCTACAGCCTTCAGATCAAAGTTATTTTCTTCAGGCTGGACTAAATTATACACAGGTCCCAGGAGTGAAGGACACTGAATTAATGCACTATGTCAACCAGTCCTGGTTATAGAATATTTTTATCGAAGTGTGAGACGCAACATCTCTTTACTATTTCATTAAAAATTAATGTGCAGATTTCCAAAAAGCAAAAAGCATAAATAACGTAAATTTTGTGAAAGGTTTGTACACTGTAGACACGTTGAGGATTTTTTTTTTTAGTATCAGATTACTTCTATATATACATTTAATCAGTATTTGTTCTCATTTAGCTAATCAGCAGAGGTACTCTAATCTCAGTAAAGCAACTGTTCATAGCTTTCCTATGTTGGTAGTTTTTTCCTGTAAAAGGAAAGCAATATTCCTGGTTGCAAGCTGGAGCATTATATTATTGGCCCATATAAATTTGCTTTTTTGCTTTTGTTAGTTGAATGTAATGAGTCAAACCTGACTACAGTTATTTGAAACTTACTGAAATTGAGCTTTGCCTTCAAATTTGCAAAGTGAATAGGGCTGGCTAGATAAATGTCTGGAATTAACCTTCTGTTGCTGTACATAAAGCTGTGAAATACATATATACTTTTTTTTAAGTGTGGTGAGTGAAAAATATATGGAAAATTATATTGTAGTGGAATTGATACAGAGTGCTGCTGCTGTTAATTGGAGGAAAATACATTTTATATAACTCTTGCTATGTAACTTGGTCTTGTGTTTTAGGGCAAGGTGATTTTCTAGCATTTTCGAACAGCTTGATATAAAAATAATTCAGCATCAGTTAAATCTCTATTGTGCTCCCACTTTGTTCAAATAAAGTATGTCCCTTTATGGCAGTTTTAACCCCATTTATCCTCATGCACAAGTGCTCACCTGTTATTTACTCACATAAGAGAAGGTCGATACTGCAGAACAAGGGGAGTGCTCTGTTGTGACATAAAACATACATATTCATTAGCTCTGCTGTCCCTATGGACATGTGTGGTATGTCCTGATGATCTTCATTTGGCAAAAGGAAGCGAGCTTAAGAAGGAAATTGTCTTAATGGATTTACGATACATGAAAAAAGGTTTTAAAAATGCTTTATTTGTGGTAAGGGACCAAAGCAATAATTCTAAGTGTGAATGAAAGAGTAAAAGGAAGCAATTTACTGAAAGATGATTAGCAACAGAAATAGAAAAATAATAGAATCCAATATTTGAAAATTATAATTTTCATATGTTAATTTTTTCTTCCTAGAAGAGCTTAGGTCAAGATCTGAATGTTCCATAACAGTCTCCCTAGTACTGAAAATTTATTCCTTCTGCCTCTCACTTACTTGCTAAAAAACAAGTTCAGGGTTTTGTGTTTCACCTGCTTCAGTTGATTACATGAGAAACACAATAAGGCATGAAGGTATTTTGTCTGCTCTGCTTTTAAGGATCTGTGTTATTCTCTTTCAAGGTAAATGTACCCTAAACTTCGCTTCTGGAAGGGAAACCAAATAAAAGGCTACTTCTGCAATTTTGTTGCTTAAAAAGAGAGTATATATTTTGCTGCACTTTTAGAAGGTTCAGTTGGGTTTATTAGAGCCTTGAAAGAAGCACTTCGGTGGGAGCACAATCAAGGTCCATGTCTAAACTATTTTGCATTTGCAAATATACATAAATACTTGTGCCAAGTGGCCAAGTATTCATTCATGATTACATTTTATCATCTGAATATTTTATTTCTCAGAATCACTAGTTATCCTGCAGTAGTTATATTGATTCTCATGTTTATATAGGCATAAATTGCAGATTATGTGGTATATTAAATGTTTTTAAAATACATTATAGCTATAAGTGTGCATTCATTGGACTGCAAAAAGTAATTTTTTAAAATAAAAATTATGTTTACATTTGTTTACAGTTATTGTTCTTGTGAGTATTCTCTCACAAATTATTATGATCTTATTCCTTTGGCATTGACAAAGCATGGTAGGTCCTTTAAAGGCATGGTACTGTTCAGAGCTACTTGACAAAAACAGCTTAAAAATTTAAATCCTGCCAAGAGAAAGCATCATAATCGGTTAAAAGGAAATGCGGTTGTTGTTTTTGTCAGTGTTTTCTAGTTGATTTAGAAAGGTGTTATGGGGAAATGAGTACAGTGAGGGCAGACTGATAAAGTCAAATATTTCAAAGATAAACAAAAATTAATCATAAATATGACCAATTCTCTACATAACTGGGTTCCAAGATGTGTGCATAAATGGTTTTGCTCGCGGTAAGGACGACTGTGCATCAGTGTGATTAGAGTACAAGGATGGAGCCCTGAACTGAGAATGTTTTTCTGGCAAGGACTGCTGCCACAGGGAAACCAATACCTCCATGGTGGGCAGCATCCTGGGAGGTCGTGTGAGTGCTTAAGTAATGGCTACAGTCCCCGACAGCCACA